GAGAAAGCAGCGAGTTAGCAAAGCTTCAGAGATGAGCCATGCTTTTCAATTTCATGTGAATTCAATTGACATTTACTAATAACAGTAAAAATCTTTGTTGAAATAATTTATGGGAGTCAAAGATATTAATCTGGAAAATCGCTGATTACTCCATGCGGGTATTATCAAACGACTTCCCCAAAAGCTATATTTTTGGCTCATTCATCTTCGTATAATTCATACCGTGCTGGTGCAAAGATCGTGGCTTGGATTATGCAAAGATTGTGACAGGAAAATGCATGGCTTTAACAGTGAAGTTAATCCTGCACAAAGGTCAACTTTTTCGCCCTTCATCTCATAAATATGAAACGAGAATAAACAAAAAGCAGAATTAGCAAAGCAAGAACTCCCAACACAAAAAATAGTGTTTTACCCAAGAACAACCAATTTCACTAACAGCTAGACCAGAAGCAGAAACCCAGCTGTGAAATGTGATCTTCAGTAGCAAATTTAACATTTCTATTTTTTTGGAGAAAACAATTAATGGATCAGAACTTGCTTCTATTCATCTCATGCTCCTGGTTCTCAAACTCCCTGACAGGCTGACATTAACATTGAACAGATCACAACCAGCTGAATTCTTCACCTATCATGTTTCTCCCACCTCCCTATCTGGACTCACTGCTAAGAGTGTTCAGTGGTTCTTTGATAACGTTTGTCAAATTAGCTGCCGCGATTCGCCCACAAATATACAGTCAATTCACTTTACAGTATATTCTATGAAACGCCTTGAGACGTCTAGAAGATGGAAAAAATGCTATATCAAATGCAAGGGTTATTATTATTGTCTATAGAGGCATTCTGACTGCTTTTCACCTGTTCTAAGGTCAAACCAGAGGTGATGCAGTAGTAACACATGATGACGATGATGATGGTAACTGTGATAATTGAGACACTGTATGGCATTTAGATATACTGGGCTGTATTTCAGGAGATTAAGATGAATATAACGACAACAACAACAAAATTACATTTGTATAGAACCTTTCACATCAGGAGGACGGCTCAAGGCGCTGAATATAACAATATATAGGACAACACCGGACTTAGAAAGTTTAATTCAATTGAAAATTTCTCCTTATAATTTTAAGTAGTTAATAACAACTCATAATTCCATGCAAAAAATGTTGTAAATGCAATCAAAAATCTCACCATAAACCTGATGTTGTACTGTAATTGAAACAAATTACACACAATGCTGCAGAAATCTAATTTTATTCTCATTCCTATGGAATGGGCTGCAGTTAATTTTTCAATAGCATCTATGAAATATCATTTAATTTGTTAGAGCTTCTGGTCATTTAGTAAATAAACTGAGGATTTTATTATTATTATTATTAAGGAGACAATAATAATAATAATTTGATAACTTGACCCTGGCTTAATCCTAGCTAATTCGTCACTGAGCCCTTTTCCTATGGATTGACAAGTTATCAGGAGTTTACTGTAATAATTATAATAATCATCATCAATCTTACATTGGTTATTGTGTCTTCATGTTGGGAAGATGTCAATCCTTCTGCTTTGCCTCCTCCTTGCCCATTTTCAGTTAGTTTCTGGAGACCTTTCTCTTTGACCATGTCAATGGCCACCTCCCTCTCTTCCCAGTTCAATATATTAAGTGCTCCAAGATGCTGGCAGTGTGAAGGGAACTATATAAATGCAAGTTGTGTGTCAGTCTTCCCCAGGGATAGCACTTTTGCCTCTGAATGAGAAAGATGTGAGTTCAAGCCACACATTGGGTCTTGGAATCACATAGTCTAAGCTGACACTCGAGGGCAGTGCTAAGGGTCTGTGTTATTATCCTTTGGATAAGACGTTAATCCACTGCCTATTCAGTGGACGTTAAAGATTCCATGGCACTATTCGAAAAGAGAAGGGAGTTTCTCCTGGCCAACAATCCCCCAAATAAAATTGGTCATTCAATCCATGGTTGTTTGTGGGACATTTGTTATGTGCAGAACTGGCTGTTGCATTTCGCCCACAAACTACATGGTCAATCCTTTTCACAATATATCCTGTAAACCGTTTTGAGAACGTCTCGATGTTGTGATATCAAATGCAAGGATTATAAATTGTCTCAAAGTGTTTTATAGAATTTATTGCAAGCTCTAGTGACTGTATATTTTGTAGGCAAACATTCAAAACTGCAGTACTTTAACCTTCAGGCCGTTTTGATAATCTAAAGGCATTTTGCCCATCATTTGATCAAGAAGGGTTGGCACAGGGGTCCATACATTATTACGGATCTCTTTCACCATTTTCAATTCAACTCATAAAGTGAGGATGACATGATGATATGAAGGCACTTATACTGACATTCCCTGCTGTCTACATCAGAGCAAAGCAGCCAAAGAACATTCCAAACTGCATTATCAAACTAAACAACACTGCAGGCTGCACAATCAAATCAAATACTGTTCTACCCAGTACAAACTAAACAATGGACCATTTAATCAAACAGCACCATCAAACTAAAAATACCCAAACCGCAGCAACGGATGGAACAGGACACAAGGTACTTGTATCCCACTCCACTGCCAACCTCCTTTGCTCAGTAGACACAGGCCTGCTTTGCATCCCCTAATGCCTGCCTGTCACTATCGGTGGCTGTGTCTTCAGTCAGTAGTCCTAATTTCTAGAGCTCCCTGCCTCCCTCTGCCTCATCCCTTTGTTATCTAACTTTAAATCCCTCCTTAAAATTTATAGACTGTGCCTGGAATATAATGGTAATACTTGCATTTCATATAGCGCCTTATCACGACATTGAGACATTTCAAAGCGCTTCACAGGATATATTGTAAAATGGATTGATTGTGTATTTTGTGGGCAAACTCGACAGTCACTTTGCCCACAGCAATTGTCCCACAAACAGCCATGGAGTGAGGGACAAATCTTATTTGGGAGATTTGTTAGCCATCTCCCATTTTCTTCTCTCTCTCCCTTGCTCGATTCCAAACCCGCCATTGTGCAGTACTCCAAAACCCCATACTGTCTGAAGGATGCTATATAAATGGTTATTGTCCCAAGCACCACAAATGAACTGGACCAAACTACACTGCATCTCAAGCTGAATGGATGGTACATCCACTCAAATCTCACTTGCCATATAAATGGCATAATTTGATGAAATCTGACTTTTTCAATTCCTATGAGGGGGGGGGATTCATATCTGCATCCACCATCAAACATTATCGGTTGGTTTTGCACCACAGCGATCAATGTTTTCATAATATTCAGACCGCATTTTTCACCTTCACTGTACCAGGACTTTCTCACGGTGTGTTTGTTCACTAAAGAAGCAGTTACAGAACTTTCTGCAAAATAACGTTTAGCTTCAAATGTATAGCTGGGCACACAATTATTGTAAAAGCCTATTCCACTGAAAAACTAAGGTCTCATGCTGTTTTAATTGAAAATGGGCTTCAAAGTTCTGGTGCGTTATGTTTTGTAGGTTAAGCAAGTGCATTTTAAAGTCATTTTTCACATAACTGGAATGAGTGTTAATCAGTTAAGGCTGCTATCAATTTCATGCTGTCTGGCGTGAAGGGCGCTATATAAATGCAAGTTGTTGTTCTGTTTAAAAATAGCGAGACTAAGTATTTCGTTTCTATTTAGTCTTACTATTTTTAAATAGTTTCCCAAATGGAAACCGTGCATTAAAGATGCTCTTGCTTTCTGCTGTAGTCTACAGAATAGTTCAATATTCTGTAATGGAAATTCTGAGGCCACCTGCTTCCCACTAACACCGATTTGTAGGATTATTTTTTTCGCTTGGAGTAGTCATTTGGAGATCAAAGCTCGTGCTTTAGTCACACAGAGATATGCGTACAAAAGGCATGGGTTTATTCATGTTCTTTTATATGCCTTGATCTGAGGATTAAAAGCGACTATTGAATATTCATTAGATTGCTCTGGTTACAGGATAACAAAAGTACGTTTTCCCATTCTCTCAGTTATGGTTTCCTTTTGGGAGACTTTGCTGTAGTACTAATAGACATCTAGGTACAGTGGATCAAAAAGCTAACAAGAATAATTTCCTGGAATGAAATACCACCTGTGTCTAGATATACAGTGCTTTATTACCTGGCCCACACCCAGCTAGGGTGTCATCAATATTGTTAAGTGCTTTGAGTTATCCCCCACAATGTGAAAGGTGCTATATAAATGTATGAATACATTTAAGCGTTCCAAGATGTTACTCGCATGGAAGACGCTATATAAATGCAAGTCGTTGGTGGTGGTGGTGGTGATGGTGTATTGTTTTGTATTTTGGGGAGTTGTTGGGATGTGGAACTGCCAAGTAAGGTGGCAGAGGCAGAGTCTATTGTGGATTTCAAGGGAAGTAGATAGGAATATGAAAGTTAGGGTTTAAGTGGTATGGAGATAGGGAAGAGTGCTGGTATTGAAAGTGCAGTTTGCTCCGAGAGCCGGTGCAGATTCAAAGGACCGAATGGCCTCCTTCTGCGCTGTACATTTGTTTAATTCTATGGGTTTTGAAGGCCCAGCAAGTTATTCTGAAGACTGAGATGACAGGCCAAATCCTTCAAACAATATGCAGTCCACAATTCGCATGTGTCCATTATTATTATTATTATTATTATTATTATTCAATCAATCACAATTTATGCCAGGGAGATGCTAAATCATTCTCTAAGCATAATCAGCTTTGAACCAAGAATTGCTACCCAGGCCAAATGGTAACTCCTAACGGACTGACCCACCTGATGGTAGCACAATACAGCCTATGACCACAGATTTATTCTTAAATTACAATTCTGGATTTGCACCAGCTAGCTATCCCTAACATTCATTTAAAAAACAGTCACGGTATTTCTGTCTCTCTTCAGTAACAATCTGTCAATTAGATACAAGGTAAAAGACAGCTCAAAGTATCAATCACACATGGTTACCCAAAGGCAAGTAATTTTGCTCATTTAAGTGCCTTCACAGTTTGCAAGAATTCCTCTGGGAACAATTTTAAATATTATTAAAAATGAAACAGTTAATCTTACCAAGATCTTTCACTTCTTTCATTTTAGTTGTGTTACTTACCTAGAGAAAGGGAGAATAAATTGTTATCACAACACGCACATGCAAAGCAATCAGATGAGTTAAGCGCTAAAAGTAACAGGTCGTAAAACGTGCAGCAGTATAAAAGTTCAACAGATTTATTTAAAGAAATAAAGGTTTTAACAGTGAACCAGACTTGAAAATAAATTCTGCCTGAATCGATTCATAGTCAATTAGATTACTGCCATTGGTGACTGATCCTTCAATTACTGTGTTGCTAATATCTGGAACTCCCTCCACGAACTTCTCCAATTTCATCTTGCCCCCTCTCTATGTGTCTTTAAATTCCACCTTAAAACTTACCTCTTCAACCGCACCTCTGGTCACCTCCCCTTCACCCCTTCCCATCTCCCATGTTCAACCCTGTCATTGATAAATGCTCTAAGATGTTATCCTACATGAAGGGCGCTGTATAAATGCAAGTTATTGTTCTATGTGTGGACTGAACATCAATGATTTCTTTCAGATGGTTCGCGTTGTGCACATGGCTAAAAAGTATCCTCTAAACCTACCTTTAATTGTTAGAAGGTTTAGGAGAAAACATATCTCCTTTCCCCACCCCAATTTCAGCACAATAGTTTGGCTCACAGTTATCTTTTGACATCTGTGATCAAGCCTTTCAATCCCGCTGCACGGAATTCTAGTTTGATTCAATTATACTGGTAAAATCTGTTATTTAATTATCAAGGGGTCTCAGGTGTGATTATCCCATAACTTTAGGACAATTGTTCACAATAAAATAAGGTTTAAGCGCTCTGAGACGCCGTCTGGGTTGGAGGGCGCTATATAAATCCAAGTTGTTGTTGTTGCTGCTCAAGATGAAAAAGGCCCTTCAGCTCATCCGATCTCATTACTCCAGAAAACCCACCCTACAGTTCCCTCATCACTCCATCAAGCTGTATTTTAAATTGGTCTAGGGGCCTGGTAACTTTTTCCAGTCATTGATTACCGTCTGGGTAAATAAAATCTTCTTGGTGTCTATCCTGGAATTGCCCTTTTAAAATCTAAACCTATATCTTGTCTTGATACATCCTAAAGTATTGATTGGGGTTTACATTTTCAATCTGATTTAACATTTTCTACACCTCTTTCAGGTCCCCTCTAAGCTGTCTTCTCGAGATCAAAGAAGTTCAGGGGCCAGGATGTGAGGTCACTGCAGGTCAGGAACTGAGATCAAAGCAGGACAATCATCTACAAAATAGATGTTCACCAACAAAATACAGTCACTAATCTTTACAGTAATTCTTGTGAAGTCCTTTGAGACACGTCAATTGTGTGATAGGTTCCACAACAACAAGTTGTATGTATTTAGCGCCTTCGCACTGGTTCTATATCAAATGCAAGGATGTATTATCATACAAACCTCTTTATTAATCCTACATTCCAGCTTTTTCCCCATATTCCTAGATGTTTGGACTTCTCAGGTACTTAATAAGTCAAATGCCTGTCTACCATTTACCTCCTTTACATTTGTCTCCAGGCTAAATAGGATGAGCATCAAATTTGTATTCTATTAGTACAAGAAATAACTTCCACCAAATCAATTTTACATTACTATGACATCTGTGGTCATTTTGCTAATAAAGAAAAATAACTGGGAAATCCATTGCCAGTGAAGTGCTAAATCCAATCTACCCACGAACAATAATTGTAAAATCTACACCATTATATTTTGTAGGTTTCAAGATAAAACAAGCCATGGCACATTGATTACTGTCTGGGTAGACAGTCAACCATTAGTCATCTAAAGTATATTCTATACTCAGGATATTCTAAAGTATCATTCATAAATCGTTTACCTACAAAATAGTCACTACACTTTACAGCAAACCCAATGAATCTCTTTAAACCGTCATCCTGATGTGAAAGGTGCTTTATCAAATGCTAAATTATTGCTGTAAAGTACCAATTTAGAAATCTATTTGTTTGCAATGTTCTCATCTCTTCAAAATCAACACAACTTTATAGTTGACCAATAAAAGCTATTTTACATCCGCTGAGATTACTCAACACTTAGAAGGGGACTACTTTTCACTGCATAATTATTGCACATTTAAAGGATATTCATTGCTACAAATTAAAATTCTGATTAATATCAGAGAAAGATGTAGCAATATTACATTTTACCATTTATTGGGCTAGAAACTTACCTTTTGTGTGGAATAACCAGAGGTACAGGCCTAATACAGGCACCATCAAGCTCATTACAGAAGAAGGGAAGTAATGTTGGAGTTTGCACTATTTATAGTGGTAATCAGAAACCAAACCATGCATTCATTTAGCTCCTGTTTGTTTCTATAAATGGGCTACAAGTCATAGTTTGTGTTGTAATAGATCACGGACAACCGGTACTAGTGAGCCGTAAACTCAACCACCACGGCTTTTAATGTCCTGCTCCTGCAAACAGTAAACACTCCCACAAACAGTTACATAGAACTTAACAGTACGGAAACAGGTCTGTGCCAGTGTTACACTCCACACAAGCTTCCACCCCTTCTAATCCTCTCTCCTCTATTCCCTGCTCCCTCTTGTAAGTTTTCTCTTAACTACATTGGTGTTATTTGCTTCAACCACAACTTCTGACAGTGAGGTCCACATTCTACATTACATACAATCCCACATGGTCATCCCCAAATGGTGGGAATTCTATGGCAATTTTGCCTCTTTTCACCATCATAATAATCATGAACAAAAATAGCCAAATGCGGATGTCACATTGCAAGTTTCTGTGGTAGAATGAAAGCATTCCATATTGCTTGTTTAATAATGGTTCTCTGTGAGGTTGGTCACATCATTCGAAGCTCCCTCTGTCACCCAAGACATGATTTTTCCTGCTGGTTAGATTACAGTGGAACATAAACTTTGCTGTTTGGCAAGGAGAGATGGAAATGAAAGTGATATGTTACATCTGTGTTGTGTGCAAGTGTTTGTAGCTTGTTCTCACAATCATCAGCAATGGTGCGCAGCTCGCAATCATTCCTTGCTGCCAATTTGAAGGAAGAAGCAACATGTTAAAATTTTATGCCAAAATTTTGGTGGAACTGTTCTGAGACACTACCTTGTGTGAAGGGCACGGTATAAGTATAAGTTGTGGAAGAAATTATTAGCTTCCCCTCATTGCCGAGAGCTAGCACACCTCCTGCAGATTAAGCAACAGGTAGGAGACTTTGGGGTAATTTTCTCCACATCTTGTGGTAACTTCATCATAGTTCCTATGAATTTATATAGTACAGTGTCCAGGAGTTTGATTTGATGCCCAAGCTTCTTATAAGATTTGCATCATGAATCTGGAGACAGTCAAAGCAGGGCATCTCAACAATTTGATAAGAATAATAATCATCAATTTGATATTCTTGTTTGACTTCAATATTCCAGCAAAAAGAGAGCTTCGATGAGTGTAAGTGGTATCTTGGTACTTCAGAATGGCTGCAGTGTTCAGATGTGACAGAGCCTCAAAGGGACAATTGTATATGGATTCATCTTCACAAAGAACAATAGGTCGCCTTTGCTTTTGCTTACTAGCTGGTCATTTTCAGGGAGTATCTTGTCATTTGGCATATCTGCTTGAGTTACATTGAGCAGTAGAAATCTGCTTCAAACAGCACTCAAGCAATATGATGGGCTTCACAGTTGAACATGAAGGTACCGGTGAAGTTGAAATTATGTCATTCTATAAGCTTGGCTCAGTCGCTAGCACTCTCTAGTCAGAGGTTTATGGATTCATACCCCACATCAGAACACTAAGCTCATATAGTCTGGGTTGATACTCCATTTCAATGATGGGATGTATTACGTTGTTCGAGGGACCGTCTTTCAAATGAGACTATTTGCTTTGAGACGTCCTCCCGACGTGAAAAGCGCTATATCAAATGCAAGGATTATTATTATTATTATTATTATTATTGTGATCTTGACAATGTGGCCTAAGAGATCAACACTGAAGTAAATATAAACAAGTTCACGTCAATTGATGCATACGCCCCCCACTACACACACTTTGAGCTTGGCAACAAAGGTTGACATCTCAGAGTAATTCTGCAAGAGATTTACAGCGACCACAATTGTGGGAAAGGAAGAAACCTTACAAGTTGTCATGAGTAATCCAGTTTAGCGATTGTAATTGCTTGCAAAAAAGAAAGCTTTAGGAAACTTGAATTTCCCGATTGTAACCACGTTTATAGCAATAAAAGTAGGTGTAAACTAAGCAAACCATTAAAAAATTCATACCGTATGGGAATGTTTGAGTAACCTTACAGGATGCAGTTGCTATATTTTTATTATATAGTCTATTGCTGAATTTGTCTTGGATCCAAAAATACCCTTTGAAATTGATCATGGTTTAATGGTCATTAAAAGTTACTGTTTCAATTACTATAAAAATATCACCATATTTCATATAACCTAATGAGCTGTATGTAATCTGAGATCTTAGTCTTTCACTCTTCAGTTGTTTCTGACTTCTGAATCTACAACACTTTTTTACTCCACTGATATTTTTCATTGTTTAGTCTTGATTTGCAGTTCTTTACTTCGGACAGCTTTTCTAAAAGAATTTTTCTGGTGAGAAACCTTTTCATGGAGTAAGTACCTTCAGATCTCAGTTAGCTTACAAAATACACAATCTTTAAGTTGTCCACCTAATGTGAAAGGCACAATATGAAATGCAAGAAATCATTATTCTTATTGTAATACTTCACTTCAACTTTGATTTGACAATCCATTAATTCCATTCAATGTTTAAGCCTGTGTTATGTGAAACCATAACATACATCTGTATGTCATAATGATGAGAATGTGCAAATTGTTAGCTAATGTTAATATACTGCCTGATCAAAGAGACTGTAATTGTTCATACTCAACTTCCATAGCCCATTCAACTAACGCTGATCACTAAGGTATTGCAGAGATTACAAGTGTCAATATTGCACAAATATATACTGCAATCATGAAATTAAGATATACTTGCATTGCACTTAGTTAAA